CAACATGAGGACACTGACTTGACATGGGGACATTTTGTGATGAAATTTCAAATACATTTCAGGCCAAATTACAAGAAACATTACTTCCAACCCTTAAATTGATGTAAGAAAAGTTCTTGGACATTTCTCTCACCAATTTACTTCTCTCTTTTTCACTTGAATGTTATTTTTTACAGAGAATGCCAACATTTCTATGTACTTTACAAAGGTACCAGTATTCAATTCCCAAATGTCAATTTTGTGTTGAAATATATTGATTGAATCACTTTAAATTCGAAAAAATTTTTCTTTTCATGGAATTATGGTGAGTATTTTGTACATAAAACACCAATTAAAAATCATATAATGTAAGTCTAAGTGAAAATGAGACTGAACTTTGAGACACTCTTGATGCACCAAGTACACCCGCATCTTGGGGCCTCACTGTATATTCTTTGTAAATACGCACAAGCTAGCACTAAACGTTGAAAACACGCCCTGAAATTCAATCATGAGGGAAAATAGAAACTCCTATAATTGAATAAAGGAGAAGATACTGGAATGCGTACTGAAGCACACATGTACAGTACTCACCAGTTGCAGCAGCTGCCTCACTTCCCTCTTCATTCACCTCCAAGAAGGCCTTGTGATAACCTTCACTCACAAACAATGATTTGTCACCGGTAATCCCAGAAAAGTCTGCTTCACCTGCATTGAACACACTCGGCATTCCAAGCTGATGACGAAAGGAATTGCATATACAGTACAATTAATCGCTTCTCGCATTTCTTCAACGTATAAACATTATACAATACAGAAAAATTTTGAAGTCACAATGCCATGGGAATCGCCCAATTTTTCCGTAGAAAAGTTCGTAGCCCGAATCCTATAATTTACTCTCCATTTCTGTGCATAGGCGTCCCCCAAATTTCATCAGGCTAATCCTGGATTTGGTCAGGTGCAACATAGAAAATACAATTTAAAAAAAGGGTTGATTTACCTTGGACAACGTTTTGCTCAAGGTGAAGGAGGACTCAAGTTTAAATTTCGGCAAGACGACAGTCAGTTCACGTCGAGCGCCTTTCGTAGAAATGACCTTTTCCAGCATTTCATGCGTCAAGGCATTTTCTAGCGCCTCTAGTCCATCCACTTCTCGTGGAACAAGCAGAAACATGGACGTGCTTTCTCCCTACACGCAACAGTCTATTAAATACCCAAAACATAAAAAATAAATTTAAACGAACAATCAGGTTACCTTGTAAGGCAGCTCCAGAATTCTCGCGTTCAAAGCATCGATATCAATGAGACGATAATGTCCTTTCCTCGACATCATCGGTACATCAATAGTTTTCTCCTTAGTCTCGAAAAACGGTTGGTTCGTCGTGCTTGTCGGGTCAAACTGGTTCAACCAGTTGCCTTTGAAATAGATCGCATTCACCAGAACTATCCTGGTCATGGCGTTCACAGAGCCTGAAAATAACTACAATTTAATCAGACGAAAACTGTTTTTTTTTTCTTTCTCAAAATTATCAGGAGAAAAGCTAAAAATGTCAGAGCAAGAATTCAGTAGGAGAAGAAACCGACCTGGAGGGAGCAAATCTTTGATCTTGTCCTTTGTTTGATCTTCAACCCATGCGTTTATTTTAGCACGATTAGCGTCAACGCTGAAATCCGTGTTTTCAACTGCACTGAGATAGCTTTCCTTTACTCGACTCAGATATTCTTCCTGTATTTTGGCTCCGTCTTGTACAAACACCTTGTTTGCGGTTGCCAAGGTCACGTCCTTGTGATCCTGCATAAAAAATAACAAAATAAATGTAATACTGACCTTATCCTGATTTTGTACATCCATGTGTTGACAATTCTAGTGAGTTGTTTCAAACAAACCAAAGCAATCTTTCATGTCAGCTTCCTGAGAAACTTACGCTTCAAAGAAAATAGCACCAAAAATAAAATATTAACAGACCGGCCATAAAAAGGATCAGCAATTGACAAAACTTGTCCTTGGTTATTTCTGTGAGAATCAGGTTTCACCCTTGCTCTCATGACAAACTGAAATGGACCTTTGGTCCTTGAAACTCTTGAATCTTTGAAACTCAAAACAGTAACTGTACTCCAGCTTAAAAAGTGGATGCTACAATCAATACAAAAATATCAGTGGAAATTTCCATGAGACAAACCCTTTTTCCTAAATCAGAGGTACACGCAAGGACTTCACTATCTCTCAAACCTCAGTACTGTGCAGTTCTACAAGTACTTCGCAAACTTGTCAACAAAAATACTCTTGTGAAAATACACCATATTAGAATAGGCTGTTCTCAAGCACCCCAGTTGCAGCCCAACCAAGTCTATTGTACCCATTTATTTACTCTCATTGTAATTTATCCTCATATCTCCGTGACAACATGTACATAAAAAACTTTTCTAAGCCTCAAACAAATTTGGCAGTTTTCAAGAAAGAAAAAAACTGTTCTACATATGTATGGTGTTAGGAATATTTCAAGAATAAATAAGGTTTGAATAAATAAAACTAAGAATTTGGTTGGGCTAAAACTGGGGTGAAATTTCACCCTATTATAAGGTTGTCATAATTTGAAACACACAATAAATCTTGCAAATTTGCTAGAGTGTCGCGTATAAGAGCTTGCAATGGAATGATGAAAAAGGAATGAGAGCGAAAAAAGGAAAACTATCCTTCAAGGACAAATAACAGTTCTGGAATTTCCAGAAATTTGGCAATGATGAAAAACCTTGGAGGCTTTGAGAAATAAGTGTGCAAGCCAGAGTTTCTCCTGGTTCTCACAAAGATATATGAGGACAAGTTTTCTGAGAATTTAGATTCTTGAGTTTCAAAAATTAGCGTCACAAATTATACTTTACCATTTATTTTTGCAACATATGGAAGCGGCGATTCCAATCAGTCTACAAAATGTAAAAATTCAGAAGAAGAAAAAAAACACACGCGTGGAGCAAAAGGAACATTTTGGAAAATCGTTCAGATGAAAATTCTGAAAATGCAAATCAGTCTGCTACTCCAACCAAATTTCTCACCATGCACGTACCCCTATTGCCTTCAACAAGTCCCTGAATCGGGCATGAACATCTCCGGGGTTTTTGGTCATAACGTGCAACACTTTCGACATTTCTTCATGCGTAACTCCACCAGAACCCGCGAGAACCATGGAGAAAGCCGCCTGGATGCTGAACGGCGAGAAGAATATATTTCCTGGATTCGTACTCCGCAACTCCTGAAGACCACAAATGAACTCGTGAGTCCACTTCCAATACTGTCATCCGAAACACAAGAAGGAACTTACACGGAACAAGTCAATCGCAACAGCCCTGAAGCTCTGGTCTAAGTCTTGCGCCATTTTGTGTGAATCAGCAACAACAAAATTACAACAAAAGTAAATTAAGGTACCAGAAACACAACCTTTTGCACGGTACAAAAAACCCATGTTCATCAGTTCAACAAACGAAAAAAAAAAAAAATGATGCATTCTACAAGCACAACGCGTAGATCACACCAGGATAAGAGAATCTCGCTGAATTTTTTAATTTTGAAAATCCTGTCGCATAGAATTTTACTGCAAAAATCAGACTCGTACATCCACAATTAGAGAAAAAAAAGAAAAACTTGTCGACAACGGGGATACTGGTCACCAGAGCAGCTGGAATCAACCGTGATAGAAATACTGCCAGGTCTTCACCTCAACAATAAAATTTAAAAAAAACCAAAAGCGATATGAATCGAACAGTTGTACGCCACACACGGAACACCACCTTCAACAGAATTCGTCAGACAGTGTAAGGGTTGGTTTGAAAGTTCCGCAAGTAGATTAAAATTATTCAACTGAATTTTTTGGATCACGAAAAATCGTTCCTTTCATCCCCTCATAAGTCGATTGACCTCGCTTTGGAGGTGTTCCGTTAACCAGACTAATTCTTCAACTTTCTGAAATCATCAATTCAAAGAATGTTTTAGAGGGCTGCCGAGAAGTCCTTGAGAACAGAACATCCAGGTTGACCTCCCAAAATTACTTCAGACATTGAAGCAAACATTCGTCAGATTAGCAACATATGCGTTCAATGACAACTCTGAACTTTGTTTACCTCAAGCTTTTGAAGCAGAGTTCACTGGAAATATCAAAATTTATATTGATTCATTGGCACTGAATTGAAAAATATGTTCCCTGAAAATATTTTATATACAGTGAGACCCCAGTATGTGGACAATTCAACTTAGGGACTCTTGAAAACCAAAGAATCAGGCCTGACATCAGGACATTGGCTCAAGTTAGGGACACTTCTCTGAAATTTTCCCAAAAATCAAAAAGTTTTATTTTTAAAGTTTGCTTTCTTTCAAACAAATCAAGCTATTTACATTCACGAAAATTGAAAAAAAAATGTCAGGATAAATTTACTGTAATTCATAATCAAAAGCAAGCTGATTTTGTGCTTCAGAAATTTTTTTGATCATCTGCGTATATTCTAGCAAGACTAATTTTTTTGTTTTCTTTTTTGATCTCCTATTTATACCAAAAGATCAGATTGTATGTGGTATGTTCTGCACGGCTGTTATCATTTGAGGTCTCACTGTATGTACTTCCAGATTTAAAATACAGTATTTTGAACTACTTTGTGCAACGAGTGAACCTTCGCTCAACAAGGATACAAGTAAATACAATGGCTATAGGTTTAAATTAAGGCAGGTGATAATAGCTTCATGTACTCCATAAACTTGTGCCACATCAACGTCAATCCCCAAGGACGGAGCGGGAAACTTTTGAACCATCCCTCGCACACTTAGACGACGTCATACACACGACTCCAGCGACATACACACATGACAGAAGGTAGCAAAACAGGGATGAATAATGCCTTCCACGAAAGATTCGATAAGATAAAATGCTTGCATATCACCAGTTTCAAAAGGGAGAAAGCTTTACGTGGCTCAACAAGGCATTCACCTGTACTTCAGGAAAACCATCAGAAAATATAAATAATTCGAAGAAAATGATTCACAGAAGGATAACACCATCAAAGTTCACATCACGCTGCGCAAAAACAGATTGATTCACCGCAAACACACCTATCTTCTGAAAAATAATTTAAACAGATTTAAGCAAGAACAAAAAAAAAGCATTCAAACTAATGCGGTATGAAGAAATGAAAAACTCGCCGCAAAGAAATGTCGCCAATTTATTCAGACGTCCGAGTACAAAATTATGCGAAGCGGTAATGCCATCGCTTTCACTACCACTGAATGACAAGTGGCGCACTTCTTGTTCTCCCGTGGTAATATGCGAAAATGTTGCAAAACGCGACACTCAAAAATTAGCACCCCCAATGCCAACAGCTTCTGTGTTGCGACTGATGAGATGCCTTTGCGTCAAACGTCACGAGGCAGGAGGTAATGCATTTCCTGTGCGACAACCTGTTTGACGGAGCGAACTAACGAAGAGAGTATAGCAAAACGAACGGAAAGACAAACACCACTTCACGTAAACACAAGTGAACCTTCATTGAACATCCCTGAGCGACCCGCATTCAAGTAAACAAATGGATCAATCGGGCAATTCAGAAATGCACGTGTAAGCGATTCGACTTACAGGTGATTCCCCCAGAGGTTCACCCACGGGGTCAATGTAAAAATTCAAAGACTCACGGTCGCTGTCCGGAAGATGAGCGAGCACAGCCGCAATCACTTCCGGGGTGCAAGCGGCCTCGTTAGCTTTGAAAATCACACTCAGCTCCATGGCCGCGGCTTTGAGCTCATTGCTGGCCTTTTCCATCGCCGCCTTCCTCACTTGCAGGCCTTTTTGCGTTAGAGTTAACCGCCGGCGAAGGATCTCTAATTCGGCTTCATATTCTTCGCAAGCTTTCTTCTCCTCTCCTACTAGACTTGCGATCTTCTCAACGGCACTCAATTTTTCTTGAACTACAAGCCTGTGAAGTCAGATAAGAATAGGGACAGAGACAGAATCCCAATAGTTGTCCCAATTGGGAAATCATTGCATTAGAAAGCGATCTCCGCTAAAAATCGCAATTCAGATAATGCGCGAGCAGTTTTAATACGATTGAAGCTTGATTAAGAAGAGGTTGAATCGTACAGTACTGTACTTCATTACTGAAAATATGCGTAAATCGATGACACTCACAATCGACCCAATCCTTTGTCCACCAAAATATCGTCACGAGGGGGATTCTCATCTGAGTCTTCACTAGACTCAAGCAAAAGCCGCAAAGATGGTGGCGAGCCAGGAGCAGATGGACTATCAGGTACACGAATTGATTCCCCGTTATTTGAACTGGAAGATCCATCAGCGTTTGCGTCCGGAAACTGTTTTGCAGTCAATTGAACAGTCGCATTCATTTTATCACAGGGTTCTTGATTTCTCCCTTCCACGAACTTCTGAGGATCGCTCAAATCTTCCTTGTTGAACGTCGTGACTTCAGATGCCTTACAACGTTCTTTTGTCTTCTTCTTCTCAAAAAGTTCCAGAATTTTTTTCTGCTCTCTGATTTTCTTCTGCTTGAGCTCATATCCAGCTCGCAACAACTCATCTCGTAGTTTCGCAGTACTACTTTTAATACTGGCAGCCGTTGAAACCTGTGAACGTATTTGACCAGAACGGGACCTTTCTATTCACACCAAACGCAATTGACACAATACCCATGCTTGTTATTTGATGTGATGCCTTCAAAATTGAAAATCAAGAAAATTTCAAGCAATACTTGGTTAAAATATTCAAAGTTTATAAAATACAGCTGATCAGTCCCGCAGCAAGTGAACAGAAACTTCAGCTTCGGTTACTGTAAATCTCCGAAGTGGAATTTTAAAGATGACACATGAAACCTTATGCGAATTTAATAAAAATTATTACTTCGCAAGAACAAATCCTTGCAAACGAAAGGGAATTCGAAACATTACGAAACGAAAAAAAAAAAACAGTTTAAGAAAATGGAAGCTTCGTAAAACTCAATCCCTCCATTTGATTACCAGCTGTGGAACAGGCTTGACTGCTCCAATAATCTTGGTTTTGCCATTTTCATGTGGTTTCTTGATGTCATTGCAGTTCGAATCCACGACATCTTCCGATAATTCCTCCTCAGACGAGGAATCCCCTTGTCCAATGTTAATTATTAAAGGTCCACGTTTCTTCACTTGAGCAGGAACAGCCATCACCACAGGGGGCGCTGGAACTTCCTTAGGCCCCCACAGGCGCTTAGCAACGGACATATTCTCATGGCTTAAATTGACTTCGGGAACGGTAGGTTTGGAAGAAGTATTAAGAACCACAGGAGTTGTCGCCACAGGAGCAGTTGGTTTTCCTCTCTTCTTCGCGACATCCATGAGCAATCGTGCCCGAAGTATTTCTTCGTCGTCTTCTTCCAGGTCCAAACTAGTTTTAGATGCCCCATCATGCAACGCAGATAAACAGACACCCGCATTTTGTGTGCCTTCAACAGTAGAACACGTTTTCTTTTTCATGTGTTTCTTCGGCTTTTTCGAAGTCATTTTGGCAATGCTTGAGGATTTCGAACGTTTTCGAGACATGGATTTCTTTGCACAATACTTCTGAGTATCTTCACGAGTGCTCTTCATCAACACGGATTGTATAGCAGCCTTCCGTAGGAATAACTCTTCAACGGAATCGTTGACTACGGGTGCAGCTTTATTTTCATCTTGCTCTTCTAGGAGCAACACAACTGAATCTAAAAAGACATTTCAACAATTGACACGTCACTTCGGAGAGGAAGACTAAGAATAATCACATACCTGTATCAGATATGTCAGACGCAATGAGCATATCAACAACTTCTGGCGAAGGAATTGGGGACAACTGATGGCTATTCGGAGGCTTTGGAGAATCAGGAAGAGGGATATCCAGACAAAACCCGTTCATCATCGCGGAAAATGTTTCCGAAAGCGACAGCCTCTTCTCCGCTCGAGGAGGCTTTTGAAAACGGCCGTCTCGCACTTCGCAAGACTTGTCGTCATCCGACAATATTTCACCGTCTTCCACATCCATGAGTATTTCAGCACTTGATAATGGCAACTTGCTTAAGTTGGACTAACCGCTTCAGTTGGCTCAAAAAGGCAGAAAAAGTTCATCGTCCGCTGAAGGCAAAAACGTTTTATCTCCAACACGGTGAGAATATTTTTTACCACTGAAGCGTTGCGAACATCGAAAACCTTCAACAGCAATCAAAGTCTACACATGATCCACGGATAAACAGAACTGAGACTTGATTACGAAGTGTACAGTAATTGCGAAATGGGCATTACACGAACTGCATCCGTGTGGAAACAAAACTCACCATCGTTCCACTGTGCACAGTCATTGTTCACTGCTGCTGCTCTCTATCCCACAAATGTACCTCTAATAAAGTTTTTCCTCCAGAATGGATTTTGATTTTTCTCCATTTTTGATAGGATGTCTGGGCTTGTTCATTTTCTGTATTGTACCTGCAAGCTTGTCACAATATGATACATATATTGTGTCATTATTTGTAACCTGGTGTGTTCAAGTAAATCAAGGAAAATACTTTAAATATACTGTGTCTGTTTAGCTTTACCGAACAGCCAGCTCATGGATGAGTCAGCCCGAACCCATTTATTGAGGCATTATACTGTATATATAATTAAAGCCAAACATAATGGGTCTACAAATGGGTCCAGGCTTACTGCAGAAGGATGTGCATGTTTTCCAACTTATTAGCATCTATATATTATAATGTATGAACATGCAAATACATGAAACACATTTATATTTTGCAAATATGTGTATAAATGTGCATAAAATGGAAGTCACAGCATGCTGGGTTTTTGGAAATTTATGGAGTTCATTTTATGTGTTATAATTGCTTGGCTATTGATTTTTCATCATCATTGCATTCATTACAATTAGGCCCATAGTTTATATATATACATAAATTGGGCATTCCATGATGAAATTGACAAAAACTTACCCATGCAATTTTAATGCAACATATCTCACTCAATGATTGTGTAACAAAATACTAATGTGCTCTGTTTATATTTTAATCAATAAATATGCAGTTGCGCCAAGCTTGATTATGAAACAGTCATGTAAACAAGCCACAAATAATGAACACCATAGCATGCAAGGGACAAAACCAAATTATTGGGTTGCATTGATTTAAATATGTGAAAAACATACAGATCCTTAACCATTTTCATTTGGCAAGATTGACATTTATATGCAAGTCAATAAAAGAAAATTGAATTTTTTCAAAGCAAAGATACATACTGTATTGCCCTAGGTTCTATAAGTAATCAGAGATATAATTCATGCTGATAACCCTAGCAAATAACCACCCATAAATTGGGCAGACATAAAATGCAGACATGCAGACACCCATTATAAACTGGTATTCCATGGCTGGCTGTGCATGGGTGATTTTTTTGAATATGGGTGATTTCTGACTGCTGGGCAAGCATGAATGAAGTACACATTGCAAAACCTGTATCAGCCTGCAATGAACAGCTGTGCAGATATGGAGGTTTTTGAGCAAGCTCAAGCACAGGATAAAACTCCTTAGAATTTGCTGGGGGGGGGGGGAAATGTCTGAGACATTAACTGAACAAAAACAGTGCAGCTCTGTTTTATATGGCACAATTGCTGTACAACATTGTATTCAGAGCAGCAGTTTCTGCCACATAAAACAGAGCAGCATGTTTAAAACAGAGTAAAATGTTTAAATCAGAGCTTCTTGTTCAAAACAGTACTGCAACATGACTGTACAGTACAATGTTGTACAGCCATGCCACAATATTCAGCACAGCATGTCTGTACACTGTTTGACATTGTACAGCAATGCCATGCTATCTTACTTAGCAGTTAGCACTGCATGACTGTACAATGCTGTACAGCTATACTGTACTGTTTTGAACATGAAACTCTGTTATAAACAAGTCACTCTGTTTTAAACCAGCTGCTTTGTTTCAAAATGCACACTGACTATTCTCAATTTCCTCAGAATAATTTTCTGTTTTCCAAATGGAAATGTGATAAAATATAAATTCATGTGCAAATTTCCCTTGAATTTCCAGGAAGTGAATTGCAAATCTCAGCACATCATTACAAACTGCATCAGAATTGAAAAAAAAACAGCGAGTCAGATAATACTGTACCATAAAGTTTTTCTGAGGCCAGAAATTATCTGCCATCAATTAAATCTCATCTTTCTTTTTTTCAAATTATTACTTCCCCTTTTTCATTTGGCATCTGTGTGTTGGAAATATTAATCTTACACAACGACATATTTCTACTGATTGAAAAGAATAAAATTAATAATGTGGTTCAAAAGCAAAATTTACTGACATTTCCTATAAATTGATTTCATTTCCTTCTGGCAATAAATCAACTTCAAGCATATATTTTCACAGCTATATAACAGCTGCTTCAGCTCATCACGCTCACCAAACTGAAGAAAATAGAACAGCAAATCATATCAATACAGGATATCTTGAATACGCATTTTGACAATCAAATGTTTGAAGCAATATTTTCATAGAAAGGCCCGCACATAAATGTATCCAAACTTGGAAAAGTACCTCAACAGATAAATACGAAATTTAAATCCTGAGAGATGACAAAAGAATGAACAACATAATTTTCTTTCATCCTTCTATAGAATCTATACTCATCATACGAAACTTCTCCTGTCCTAAGAATACGCACTGTACAGCAAAACAATATAAACTAGTTCATTTTACCTCTCATAGATGTCGCTCAGGCCTTAATAGGCCTCCGTTCCTGAAATCGTTATCTGCTGCCGTGCCTTTCATATCTAGCTGTTACATCAGGATGACGAGAATGCAGCTCGGAATATTGTATCTTACGTCTTTGTATTATTTTAAGCAAGACGTTTAGAAAATATTCTCTGTCTTGCATTATTGTTTCTTTGATGGTGCATCAACGCAATTGGATCTCTTTCTGAACCGCGTGTTTGGATGAGGGGTTCTGTATATGTATGATGGAAAGACGGACGGAGATATATATGAAAGCGACGTTTTTGTCTATGGTTCTGTAAAGGGAAGAGGGGGTTCGTGAACCACGCCCTTCCTGCTCATTAACCCATATCCTCTTCATTTCCACATTCGTCACGGATGGAAATCACGTTTGCTTTCCGCTGGTATTCTGTGCGAGAATACGGGCCTGTGCTGATGAAAATGAGTGGGGAACGTCCCAACTCGTGAATGCGCAGAACTTGGGACAACCCATGTACGTTGCCTCCACTTTTTCACCTGATGAGTGTCATGACTGTAAAGGTGGACATATACAGCCGGGCTCCGACTTGCGGACACCCCGACATTTGGATTTTACGACTGCAGTGGGACACTTGAAGCTTTTAGAAAAATCTGATGCAAAATCTGATGAACAGTATCTTAACACAGCATGCACATTTTTCCAATATTTCTAGCAAAATGGAAAATATTTATTTTACAAACTAGGACATTTCTTGAAAAATTTGAGCTATTATGTTTGTATTCAAGAAAGTTAAAAATGAATTTCATTATACTGTATATTTATATTCAATTTATTAAAAAAACACAAATATTTTACTTTCCTTTTTGGAATATTCTCCATCATCTGTGCACAGTATAGCAATACTTTTATTTTTTATTTTACTTTTTGGGGTCCTTATTTTGATGTCAGAAGATCAGATTCTGTGTGGCTTTCTTCTTAACAGTTTTATTCTGCATCTATAAGTTGAGGGGATTCCTACTCCTAAATTTTGATGAACTGGAGAATATTTTATGCATTCTAGACTCAAAAAATACATCACTGAAGCTCAAAGCCTGTAAATTGTCATGTTTTCAGCATGCATTATTGATTAGTGTGAAATTTATGTAATCCTGACAATCATGTGTTCCTACAACTTTTGAAATCTCCAAATTTTCAAGACAAGAAAGCACAAATATTCACCTCCCTGTCCTAATTTTCCCAATTTGTTTTAGAAATTCCATAGTTTCAGATCAAAACTGGCTAAAATCTAGGAATTTTTGGCTTAAAACTGGGTGTTGTGTGAAAAAAAACTTTTTTTATACTTATATGGGACACTTTCTTTGCTCAATACAATTCTGTGATGATATTCTTTTCTTTTTTTGCATTCTGAAAAGAGAATAATGGAATGACACACACACACCGCAGCAACTAAAATTGTAATCCCCTCAGTATATAGTCCCCACCTCTCCCTAATTCTAGTGGGCAGATTGAACTGCTGCAGCTGGTTTAAGATCCCCTTCAGCAAAAAGCTCCTCCAGGATTTGGGCATCCACCTTGGTTCTCCTCACACATGCATATACAGCACTGCTGCAGCTGATTCAAAGATACGCCATTATCGATCCCGTATTTTATTTTTGAAAATGAGCCAGTATAAATTGGAATTCAGAAATACGAATCTCGTTTATTATCACCTCAACTCATTTCCCCAAACATACTGCACATTCATGCATCGTTACGGAAAAACGCCTGCAGCAAAATATTTTAATTCCGGGGATCTCGAGTGCCGGAAAGGAATCTTTCGAGTCCATCTCACTTCCGCCTTTTCTTTCGCACGTTTCCGGTCTATATAATCGCTTCCCTTTATATTGTCGTCGCCTGAATCTGGATTTAATTGTAATTTCATTCTACTCGTTTTTGCGTGTCACAGAAGTCAAAACGGTTGGCGTGAGAGTGTATTTTAAGTGGGGGGAATTTTCAGTGCAAGAAGTGTTTGCAGTTTCCTGTTTGACGACGCCAGGATATATAGGAGTATATTCTGTTGTTCTTTTTACGAGGGTTGGTTCATAAGTTTTGAGACTTTTTGACAGAGATACAACGGAGTTTAAACAATTCCCCTCTTTATTTTATTCGCCTAGCCACACCATTTGGCAATACTTCATGGCTGTTCAACATGCTCTCTGCCAATTTCAATTAATTTTTTTAATGTGATAAAATCCAATTATCAAAACAGTACTAAAAATTGAGTTTTGTTTGTTCATTAGGCTGCTTTTTCTTGGCAGAAATGAGGTTATCCCTGCTGTCCTCAAAATCAATCCATTTTGGGTGGTTTTTTGTTTTACTGTTGGAACAGACAAAATTCACAGGATGCCAAAGTAACCAACAAAACTTGATTTTTGGCATTGTTTTGATCATTGGATTTATTGCAAGAAAAAATGCATTGACATTGGCAGAGAGTGTATTGAACATAACTGAAGTGTTGCCAAATGATGCAGCATGCAAATAAAAAAAATTGGAATTGTTGAAATTCTGTGGGATCTACAGTACTTTAAAAAGTTTCTAAACTTATGAAGTGTTGCAAAATGATGGGGCTTTACAATTAATTTTTTTGAATTGTTATTGAAACTTCATTGGAACTACAGTACTTCAAAAAGTCTCAGAAGCTATGAAGTGTAGCCAAATGATGGGGCCATGCAAAAAATTAAATTTTTGTAATTGTTGAAACATCTTTGGATCTACCAGTGCTTCAAAAAGTCTCAGAAGCTATGTAGTGTGGCCAAATGATGCAGCATGCAAGTAAAAAAATGGAATTGTTGAAATTCAGTTGGATCTACTTCAAAAAGTCTCAAAATTTAAAAGTGTTGCCAAATGATGGGATTATGCGAGTTTAAAAAATGGAATTGTTGAAACACTCCATTGGATCTAATTCAAAAAAATCTCAAAACTTATGAACCAACCCTCTTGTCCATAAACAAGTCACAGTATATTGCTTTTATTTTTTTAAAGCTTCATTTTTTAAAGCTTTTTTTTAAATGATGGGACTGTGCAAGTAAAAAAAAAATTGTTGAAACTCCATTGAATCTACTTGAAAAAAGTCTTTAAATTTATGAAGTGTTGCCAAATGATGGGGTTATGCAAGTAATTAATTTTTTGGCATTGTTGAAACATCTTTGGATCTATAGTACTTCAAAAAGTCTCAGAAGCTATGAAGTGTTGCCAAATGATGGGGCTATGCAAATACTGTAATTAAATTTTTTAATTGCTGAAACTTCTTTGGATCTACAATGCTTCAAAAAGGCTCAAAAGTTATGAAGTGTTCCCAAATGATGGGGCTATGCAAGTAAAAAAAATGTAATTTTTGAAACTCCATTGGATCTACTTTGAAAAAGTCTTTAAATTTATAAAGTGTTGCCAAATGATGAGATTATGCGAGGTTAAAAAAAATGGAATTGTTGAAACACTCCATTGGATCTAATTCAAAAAAAATCTCAAAACTTATGAACCAACCCTCTTGTCCATAAACAAGTCACAGTATATTGCTTTTATTTTTTTTAAAGCTTCAGTCGATTTTACTTTTCTTTTTATTTTGTTTCCTGTTTGATGGTTGATGACATCCGGAATGAGAGGGGGGGGGGAGCAGGACTTCTTTTTGTTGTGTCCGTTTGGGGCATGTTGCGTGCATCATGGCCGCAGATGGGAATGAGGAGTGGCTGTGTTCTGGTGTTGGGGGGGATGTCCTGCATACATGTGTGTTGCACAGCAGCAGCAGCAGCAGTGTGAATAAAACTTTTGCTTTCATGAGGTGTTTGGAATGTGGTCAGTCAGTGTTTCTTTTGGCTTGTGAAAGGATTGGAGAATAAGCTCTGTACATATCTGTGACTTTTTTTCTTTCTTTTCTTGTGAGAGAGATCAAGTTGTGTTGGATAAATGAGAATAAGGTCTTTGGAAATTTCACTGCAGAGTTAATATTCTATAAGATCACTTATTCCATAGGAGTTCCCAACATTTATACAGTCTAGAAAATTATTATCCTGCACATTTTTTATGAAATTATGTTACAGCTGCAACTTGGTGAGGCAAATGGAGTTCAATTTGGGGGGAATGTCCTGAATACATGTCCTGGGTGTTGCACATCAGCAGCAGTATGAATGAATGAAACTTTTGCTTTGATTAGGTGCTCAAAATAATGTGGCCAGTTAGTATTTCTTTTGGCTGGTGAAAGGATTGAAGAATAAGCTCTGTACATATCTGTGACTTTTTTCTTTTCTTTTCTTGTGAGATAGATCAAGTTGTGTTGGATAAATGAGAAGGTCTTTGGAAATTTCACTGCATAGTTAATATTCCATAAGATCACTATACATGAGTTCCCAACATTTATGCAGTGTAGAAAATTATTATCCTGTACATTTGTTGTGAAAATATTTTTACAGCTGCAACTTGATGAGGCAAATGGAGTTCAATTTGGGGGGAATGTCCTGCATACATGTCCTGGGTGTTGCACATCAGCAGCAGTATGAATGAAACTTTTGCTTTGATTAGGTGCTCAAAAGAATGTGGCCAGTTAGTATTTCTTTTGGCTGGTGATGAAAGGATTGAAGAAGCTCTGTGACTTTTTTGTGAGACAGAACAAGTTGTGTTAGATACATGAGAAGGTCTTATTAGAAATACACTGGACAAGTGGTATTTTGCAGAATCAGGATTTTTATCCATTTACAATACATAAACAATTTTTGTTATTGTAAAAAATTTGAAAAAATTGTGGCTTTGAAAATATCCTTGTTAGCATGAAAATATCTTTGTTGTTATGAAAATATCTTTGTTGTTATGAAAATATCTTTGTTGTTATGAAAATATCTTTGTTGCTATGAAAATATTTTAAATTTCCACCTTGATGAGGCATATATTTGGGAGAAATTTCCTGCATACATCTGTGTTGTAAGGCAGCAACATCAGTATGAATAAAACTTTTCCTTATTTCATGAGATGTTCAAACTGTGGTCAGTCAGTGTTCCTTTTAGCTTGAGAAAGGATTGAAGAAGCTCTGTGACTTTTTGTGTATGTGTGAGAGAAATCAAGTTGTGTTAGATACATGAGAAGGTCCTTGGAAATTCTCTGGATAAGTGGTATTCCACTGAATCATCATGAATTTCCACCATTTACAGTTTGGAAAACTATTGTCTCAACAACAAAATGCAGCACATTTGTTAAGAGAATATTTTACAATTGGATTTTTAGTGATGGGGCAAATTAAATGCATTGAGAGAAAATTTCCTACATGCTCATAATTGTGCAACAGCATGTGTAAAACTGTTGCTTTCATGAGATGTTTTAAAATGCAGTTAGTCAGTGTGTTTTTTGAGCTTGCTTGAAATGATTTTTTTTATTTTATGAGTGGAAGAAGTTTAAAAAAATCATTGCTTTTCTATATTAGACAATACCTGATTTTTAGTTCCTTGTGTATCTCTGATCGTTTTCAATGGGTTGAGAAAGACAGTTGAAATCACAAATGGCTTTCCAGGAAAGGAGGAGTCCATCACTGTGAGGTAAGCGGCTTTCATTTTTAAATTCCTTGAGTTTTTTTCCATAAAAAATTGTCCAAATTAATTATATTGTATGGTGTTTTAAATTTCATGTAATGCTCATATTGCACTGGAAAGATTATATGAATACTAAGAGTTGTTCAGCGATTCGTCCAGTACAACTAATGCTGTACCACGGAAGCCAAGTTTACGTGTTTAAAGGAGCAAGATCTGATTCAAACTTCTCTAAATGTTCCAAGACTGTCGTCTCGAGTATATATAGATGTCACTCTACTGCTTGATTGAATTTCTTCGAGAAATATTCCATCACATATAGCTCCGTGCATCAATCCAATATCCCGTGGAATTTCTTTACTACGGTGTAAACCAAATGAGATCGTTCGAAGCCAAAAATCAGAGCAGTTGCTGGGAACGGATATAATGGGTAGAAAAAGTAAGCAACCCGCATTGTCCGTCAATTCCCCGCCGCGAACATATGCAGTATACCATTCCGAGTAAGTTTTTCCGTGTACCAAGAATTGTACAGAATTTTGCAACGGTGTGTAATTTAGGAAACACTCGACATGATGGATCGACGAGGCGATTTTTCGCAATTTCGTGCTACTGTATGTATTGTAGTTGTAGTCTGTATAAGTATAGCAGCAATTTCAACTCGAATTCCACCTGCTGCTTTTCCAAGCCCATGATCTGTTCATATCCTGTCAAAACGTCTCGAGATTTACGTTAAAAACTTCAAGTAGATGTCGCCCTATTCTTCGACCCAATCTTCGCTGCTGCGCATAACGCCGGATCTCCCATCATAAAAAAATTGTTCCAGCACCATGAGCATTTGCAAAAACACCTGAAGATCAGAGCAGGTGGGGGGAATGAAGCAGATGATGGGGGGTCATGATTCGATGGGTAAACCCAGCCTTCCACCCCAACCCCGTTCACAGTAGCAAACATTCCCTTCAGTTGAACTCGCTCTCCCCCTGCTGCACCGTTGTGTTTTGCAACCCTGACGATGTCATCTGTTGGGAACTAGGGTTTCTCACCCGTGGAACAGGATGCACAGCCAGTGATCATCCGCGGAACTGCGCAGTAGAAAAAAAATAAAGAATAAACCGGAAAATGTTCAAATATCCCTCATCCCCAACACGAGGCGATCCCCCCCCCCCCCCTCCCGCTATCTTTTATGTATGAAGGGCGCCTTGAATAAAAACTTTAATTCATTAATTCATTACATATCGCATCTTGTCTGATTATCAGGAGAAGGGGGTGTATTTTGTGTGAATGTCATTTCCCCTCTACGAAGCTCCAACACCTCAGGAAGACATTTTTTTATGATAATAATAATACAAACAAGCAAATAAGAAAAAACTTCAAGACATAAATCTCCAATGGATGTATTGTCCCCCAATGGCCCCAATACTCCGCATTTTTGTTCACATATTTTGCAAATTTTAATTTTCTAGTTGAGTAAACTAATATTGACGGAAATGTACATATACAATACATATTAATTTCCTCTACACTTGAGGATGCTAATTTGTTGGACACAAATACAGCGCAGAACAGTATTCATTTATTTTTTCATTTTCTTCTTCTAAATATGGCCAGTCCTGATGTGCTGTGAGCCCTTTAATAAAATTTTGAAAGAAACTGGAAATATATAACACCTATACTGTACCAGACAATAGTATGGATATCTGCTTTCCACTGTGTATAAAGCTTCAGTCCATAGAGATAAATTATTTATGGGGTGTCAAAGAACTCTCATCCATTCAAGTCAGTTATAGTCACTTTCAAATACAGTTCCATTTGCAAATCCTATATGACTGTCCTCATCATGAATCATTCTATGTGTCACATTATAGGAAACATTTACTGCACTGTTTTGGCATTATTGGATTCTGTGTGGGAAAAAAACTTTTTTTTTTCTGGGCAATCCTGTAAAAATTGCCACACCTGTTCATAGCCTTCATGGTGTGGGAAACCTTTTTTCTCTTTTGGAGCATTTACGCCATGAAGCATGATGATGATCTATGCTGATACAAAGTTTTAACAAGTTCCAATAAAAAGGTTGCATTCTATATAAGGCAAAATCTCTTTGAAGCAGGTCATGTGAAACATTATAGTTTTTTTTTAATCTAAGCTGGTGGAGAGGATTTTTATGGCTTTAATTTTCTGGATTAGAAATTGAAATGTGTAGATATTTTAATTTTTAATTCCTTTTGCAAATTTTTTTTTTTTGCTATCCACTGACAAGCATGGAACTTATATTCTGATTTGGAAATTTCCACTGTAGGAGGGAAGAATGGGATCAAAGCTGAACTTGCTGCTGCTTTGGCTGCTCTTGTGTGATGCCTGGGGACAGGAAGCCTTTGTCACACTCCGCCAGGGGTCGCTCAGGGGAAACAGGGTTCCAGTGAATGACCCAGAGAGAAGTGAAGTTTTCTCTTTTCTGGCTGTGCCTTATGCCAAACCTCCCATCAATGAGCTCCGTTTCAGGGTTTGTTGTGATTTTTAAAATAATTTCTTCATCTGCTGAGATTGATCAAATGTATATGTTTTTTCATTATTAGAGCCCAGAACCTCATCCAGGTTGGAACAGAACCCTGAAGGCAGACAGATTTGGACCTTCTTGTCCCCAGCTCCAGGCCCAAACATCAAGTGAAGACTGCCTGACACTTAACATCTGGATTCCTGAAGTCAGTAAAATTTGGTACTTTCCTGTTATCTCAGTACCTACTTTCTGTGCACCTACCAGAAATTGTGAATTTCATTTTTCCGCATTCTGCTGAAACTGATTTTGGGAGGTCAGGTAAAGTTAGATTAGGTCAGGTTATGTTAGTAACAAATATCTTTCAATTATCATAACCTGACCTAACCTAACTTTACCTAACCGCCTCCCAAAATCAGTTTCAGCAGAAACCCAAAGAAATCAGAAACTGATTTTGGGAGACTTCAGAGGTGAAGTTAGGTTATTTGTCTGGATGGTAGGGATGTAGTTCTTTTTCTCTTCAACTAACATGATTAACTAATTTTTCATTGCACAAATACTGAATTCACCAGACAAACAAAAATGGTTACTGAGATGAGAGGAAAGTACCTAAAATTTAGATATGAATCAGTTTTTTAAATATTTTGTTCTATCTTAAGATACCAAGGAATTTCCCACAATTCCCTGTGGTGGTCATTTTAGCTGGTGAGTTCTTTGAAAGAGGAGCAACAGCAAGGATTCCTGGGGAAGACTTGGCAGCCAGAGACATAGTTGTTATAACAGTGAACTACAGACTACATTTGCTTGGTTAGTGTCAAGAGAAAGACATTTCAATTTTGACGTTGATATAGTGTTGAAATGGTTTTGTAGGATTTCTGAGCTTGGAAGATCCAATGGCCCCAGGGAACATGGGACTAGAAGACCAACGTTTGGCCCTGACCTGGGTCCAAGAAAATGTAGAGATGTTTGGTGGTGACCCAAGAAGGGTAACTTTACTGGGACACTCAGCTGGAGCTGCTTCTGCACTTTTGCATCATGTTTCACCAAAGACACAAGGTTTGTCTGAAAAAGCTCATCAGCAAATGTTTTTCTTTTTATCACTGAGACCTCATTTTAATTTTTTTTGGATATCTTATGAATCATCAGGACTTTACAGTCAATTGATATTGATGGGAGGTACTGGTTTGGCTCCATGGGCACTGAGCAGAAAGCCTAGACTTTATGCTCAAGATTTAGCAAGAAGGTTGGCTTGTCCTTTGAATTTCCCCATGCAGACCTTGGATTGCTTGAGACTGAGGCCACTTGAGGACTTGCTTCAGGCATATGAACAACAAAGATCAGTGAGTTTGCTAAACTTTAACCAAAGAGTTGGATCTCAAGGGATGGTTTTATAACAGGATTACAACTTACCACCTCATGGAGCCATTTATGGGCCAGTTGTGGACAAATTCTTGCCAACCTCAGCCAGGCAATTGCCAAGACACCCAAGACAAGCTCTTCAAATGAACATGTTTCCAAGGATCCCTTGTCTTGTTGGAGGAACCAAAGATGAAGGACTGATAGCTTTGTGTAAGTTCTTCTTTTTGGCCAGGAAGATTCCTTCTGATGTAGATGATCATCTCTCTTTGATGGCAGACTATTTTGGAGAGATTCACAGACAGTCTTATCAAGAAGTAGTGGCCTTCTTCCTAAATACTGCAATCCCTTTGACCCTGGAGCTTTATGGCTTGGTGAATTCAACCCAGAGCATGACTCCCATGAAGGATATTCTGGAGTATTTGTATTCTCAAAATGTGCCTGTGAATGACAAAGACATGCTATTGAAGAATGTTGTCAAGGTGGGTTCTTCATACTTGTTAGTATAGGATTGGATTGATTTTGACTTGATTCTGTGTTTCAAAATTACAGTTCTTCACTGACTCCTACTTTGCTTCACCAATGGCAGAAACTCTGAAGTACTTGACCCGGTCAGAGAGAGACAGTCAGGTCTTTGCCTATGGGTTGGACTACCCAACAGTAGCTGACATCTATGGAAACTCACTACAGATCACTGGCTCAGGGCATGGTAATGACTTGTTGTACCTCCTGTCTCCCTCCATGTACCAGGTGACACAACAAGGAAGAGGGTTAACTTTCAGGGAGAGAAATGTGGTTGAGGACATTGGTGGCATGTGGGCTGAGTTCATCTCCAAGGGGTGAGTAATTGGACTTCTTTTTCATGTTAAAGTTTAATTAAACGTGTCTTTATATTGGATCAGGAAGCCTCAGTCATTTGCTTACTCAGCTGAGGAATGGACATCATATGTACAAAGCAATCCTGAGGTGTATGCAGTGCAGGAATCAAAGATGATCAGTGCCATGGACCTACAGAAGGCCATGTCCTTGTGGACTCATTTGCTGCCTCTGGTGTCTGAATGGGGATCCAAGTCAAATCCCTGGGGACCTGGTGTTCCTCCTCCTACAACTCCAAGGCCAGATTTTCAGCGAGAAAATGGTTAATATTTTATTATTTTGTCTATAGTTTTTATATTTCTACAGTTCAATAAATAAATTTCTGTACTGTACCCAAGTTCAAAACATTCAAAGCAATCATTTTGTTTGACTTGTTTGAAATCTGGGAAGTTGAGAACCCCAAATTCAGAAAATTTTTCTAAGGAAGATCAATTATGCAGTACAAAGATTAAAAATCCTGGAATCACCAATAAAAAAGAAGCAATTTTCCAGACTTTCCTTCCCCCTTTTGCTTTAGTGTATAACAAAACTAAAGTTTGCAATAAATATCTTCGCAAACCAATAAAAAAATACTGAATTATTATAGCATCCATTTGAGCTTGCTATAATTCAAATCTCCCTGAGTCAAAAACCTCCCTACAAAGAAAACATATACAGATACAATTTTGTTAATTCTCTGATATTGAAATTCCTTGAAGATGAATACATGTTTTATAGACCTCCCTAACTCAATGACTGTTCTCCTCAAACCTCTATAACCCAGACTGATACAGAGGACCTTAATTGGTCTATGAATGCCACAGAAAATGGAGAGCAATACAAATTCAACCATGTGTATTTCAAGAGAAAAATTGATATAATTGGCCATATATGTACCGTTTCTTCGAAGTTCAGTATCGTAAATGTCAACTCATTGGCCTAGCAGGAGTTTGAGGCCAAGAAGATGACTAATTATAACTTTCTATAATTTTTTTCCCCTGCAAAAACTCGTCTATATAATTTTTGAAACGCCAGAATTTGTTAAATTATTTATTGGGTCTCTTTGAGTGGGGGTCTGACTTGGGAAGTTTTTAGAATCCAGGAAATCCAGCATTACAGCACCCCCTTATAACCATGAGAAAGTCCCAATTCAGAAACATGTTGAATAACCCGTTAATCACGGCACAGCCACGCACCCTCCTGACGTTCAGAATTACGCGACGCACACGCGCGGATGAACATGGCGACATTTTGATGTACTGTTCATTACAATACCGCTTAACGTGCGTTATTATTATACAGATCCGACGCAGCCGTACCAAGCAGTGATGTGGGTCCTGGTGGTCTGCGTGGTGATGCTGGTGGTCCTGTTGGTGACCAGTGTGGTGTGCGTGGCTCGTACCAGAAAACATCGTGACCTTGCCCCCCACTTCCCGCACCGCTGACACAAGCCCAGCACTGGCTTCTCCACGTATACACCGCGCCCCGAAGCTTTCTGACTTAACCGTCTTGTACTGACCGGGGACAGTCCCGCCGCTGTATCTGTCCGCGGGGACAGGTCCTTCTCCAGGAACCCCTCTGGCCCCTACTACCTCTCCGAAATGTCCACCACTATCTGAATTAATGTCCTGATGATGTATAAATTTGGCTCAATCATAGTGAAAACAGCGAACCACCATAAAAAGCGTGATATAGGCGGATACAAAATTTCAAACATTTTTATACAGGTCTTTAATTTCGAATAGGCAAGTTTGGTGAATATTCGGGAATTTTTTCAGAGATAAATTTATTATCAAGAAATATAGCAGCTGAAATATGTATGGCATATGATAATGTAATTTGATTCAATGCAAATTAAAGATGAATTGAATTTAGGTTCAATTAGACTAAAAACCACTTTGCTAGCTTAAAAATCTGCAATTTAATCTTGCAACAATGGAATGTTTCAGGGACTCAAAAGTGTTGCATGCTTTTTTGTGTAAGGATGCATTTCCCCTGACATTTTAGGCTTAATATTTAAGGTGAGCTTTTATTTGAGCTTGTGTGTGTTAAACTGGTATACTTAAGTAAATACAATAATTAAAGATGAATAAAATTTATATTATCTCAAGAGGCCTATCCTAATTGCTCTTGTCAAATAAAAACAGAACTTGATCCAGCATGATATTAATTCCTGATTTTCTCCAAGAAAGGTTTATGGAAAATCTAAAAAGATTCATTGCTGACTGTTCAATTAGCATGAAAAATAAATAATTTTATTCAGAAATAAAGATGAGTTCCTGAGAATGGTTGAATGATTAAAATTCAGAGGTGTTTCACAGCATTAAATAAAAATGTTGGATGAATAAAAAATAACTCGGAATAAATGATTCATCTTCTTATTCCTTCTTGACTGTCCCCAGTTAGTACAAGAGAGTCCTGAGAATTTTCAGCAAACATTGTTACAATCAGAGCATACAGATGCTATTTTTGGAACTTGATGTGCTACAAAATTTTTATGCTGTCGGTCAAGCAATTTTTTTTTTTTGCGGTTTGTTATACGGTGTATTGAGAGATCAGTGCTGGGAATCGACTCGTGCGACATCGAGCGGATTTTATGTGCGCTATTACGGAGTGAGTGCAGCTTGTACAAAGAAAAAATATGCCAGCCCATGATGTGCGAGTGTGAGTGAGTGCAAAACATCGCGGTCGAAGAAAAGAAGAAACATCATCACTTGCTGTTTCCTGCTTCCGGATTGGAGTGTGATTTTTTGTGTGTTTATATCTTGTAGACAACAGCTTGTTTGTATATATGTGCTGTATATTTTTGTTTTTTTTTGCACGGAACTCGCTTTTGTATACCGGGTGTATAACCTCATGTTTTATTTTTTTTATATTCGGAAGAAACAATCACTGTATGGAGCTTCGACGGTTTTAATGGACCTGATGATGGCATTGATTCCAAATTTGTTGTTGAGAAAAGACTTCATTAGTCTGCTACTACAGGAGCTTTAGTCTTTTACTATATTTATCCCCAAACAAAATGGCGATAAAGCAGGTTTTCAGAAAGTCTTTGTTCCTTTTTCTGGTCATCTCTTCTTTGGCTTGGATTTCAGAGTGTAATGGTGAGACATTTTCTCAGGTAAGGTTTATATAGACATTCGACTTTTGATGTTGGTTTCAGTGGCAGTAACTGGACCTTTATGGTGTTATAACTGCAAGAGAAATTGTGATCTTAATTTGGGTGCTGCTGTTCAGTGTCCCAGACAGGATGAGTTGTGTGTCACCTACTATGAAGACACCAACATGAGTAAGTTTTTCATTATTCTGGGCTGAAATGAATCATATCTTATGAATTATATACATGTATAGAGAAAATAACTGGAAGGGACTGTTTGAGATCTTTCAAGGGGTGTTATCCTGTTGCTGGAAATGAATTTGCCTGTGCTTGCAATGAACATTTTTGCAACAACAGGTACTAATTAATTTTGGCTTGATGTGCTGAATTAAAAACTTCATGAGTTTTTAATTTTTACAGGAGATATGTGAGGCCCTTCTATGAAGACTCAACTGCCCAGTATGTTAAGAGGATGAGAAGTGGGATGCTTAATCACCAAGAAAACTTCTTGTAGTTTTCTTTTGAGCAGTACAGCTGTTGGTCTACCATATCAGTTTCCCAAGGTTTCAGTTCACCAGTTTTTCTTTGTGAGTTGAATTTATTCCTTAAATTAGTCTGGTGGTAAAATTGAGAGCAACCATGCTGGTGCAACAGTCAGCAAACTTGGCAGTCATATTGCTGGCAGCCATGGTCATCAGTAAATCTGGCCCTGGGCTGGCTCAGAGATCTGGCATGATTAATTTGATTAATGAGAGCAGGTCAGATGTTAATTATGTTAAATTTTCAACAGGTCCTTTGTTCTGCTACCAGTGTGACAGGAACTGTGATGTTGAATTGGGCACCATCAAGCAGTGTCCTGGGAATTTGGACCAATGTGCAACATTTTATTCTGATGAGGCTTTCAGTATGTATTTAATTTTTACAGATCGATGATATCGTCTCAATTGTTGAATAATGTGACAACAATACATAATTTTTTTGCAGAAAGGATACAAGGAAGGGGATGTTTGTACCACAACAAGGGTTGCTCTAAGTTGTTTGCAGATCATGGATATGTGTGCACTTGTCCTGAGCACTTCTGCAATAACCGGAGGCTAATGCCAGCTTTTTTTGTGGATCCTGAGGATGACACCAATAGTGGAGATCCTTTACTGGGAGTGGAAATGGCTGACAGGATCATTGAGGAAAACAAACGTTTAGCCATGTATCCAGAAGGCGAACTGTTATTTCGCTGACTGTTGTTGAAAATTGTTGTGTCCCATATGATTATATTTATTTGTTAAATGTAAAATTTCTTGCTACAACTTGGAGCTGTGCTCCTGTGCATTTTATTTTTTCGAAATGGAATCTGACTAGATTGATTTGATGATCAAGTTCAGAGGAGAAATATGCATCTCCATGAGTCCTGCTGGTCTAACCTAGACCTGCTGATTAACTTTGACCTGATGGTCTAACTTCTATCAGAAAACTGTTCCTTATTATTATTGCACTTCTAACTTTTCTTGGTTGCTTCCTTAAGCAATGATTACGCATAAATCGGCAATGCCTCCATCCTGGATGCACAATGGCTTTGTGAATAAAATATATTATTTAAAAAACTTCAGCTTTTATGCATTCCAAAATTCTTAGTTTGTCCAATTCTTTAATGATCCTTACTGTACACATCTTATTTCTACAAATTAAAATGTCCTTCAACTAAAATAACTAAAAATTTCCTGCATACCATTCAGGAAATTTTTTTGTTGCGTAACGTAGGACTGTATGTTCACATAGAGAGCGCTCAGCGGAAAATGTTGCTTTCAGCCTTCATGAACAGCGCTCTCTATAAAGTGATCAGCTCTTTGAGTTTGGTTAAACCGGTAAGGAGTGTCCTGCTAGCAGAAGACAAGTACCGTTCAAAACTTCGCGTGCTGTGCAGGTGAAAGGATATGTGCGAAACTTCTCGGATTCGTCTGTTGTGCGTATGTAATTTTCTTCCATGTTCATGAGTTTATGTATTTTGTGACCCTGGAAATACATGTAATTGAAAGTTTGCCGCCGTAAGCGATTGTTTCGGCGTGAAAAAGGTGAACAATTTCTGCTTGTTTGAATAAATATACGTTCCGGTCCGAACGGCTCGCCAAAAATTTTGAGCTGTGCAAGTTCTTTATAGTGCCATTGTTGGGTGTTGTAGATGAGCGTGTGGCGTTCGCGCGGTTTATGTTAGAGATTGAATGAATGAATCTAGTTTCGTAACCGTTTCTCTATAAGTTCAATGCGCAGTGCGCAAAATATGCATTTCTTCTGTGGGAAATTTGGCCCAGGTGTAATTTGAAAACTTACGATCTAGGAAGGGTCAGGTACAATACTCTGTTTCAAGTCTGCTCTGTATGAGTGTGTAAGAAAAGTGTCCTCAAGAGCTTAGAACTGCGAATGTTGAATCGTTGTTACCCATAACGGACATTCATGTCCGATGAGAAGCTGACTTGAAGTATGGTCTTCCTCGAAATGAAGTTCGATTGTTGAATATTTCTGTTGATTTTTGACGATGACAAGTAAGATGAACTTTGGTGTTGACTAAACATCTCTTCGTTTCTCGCGATGGTTCCATTGTTTATGAGGACTTCATTGTCAGGATGACTATGCGGAAGTCGAAGACCAAGTTCAGGGAAAATTAATGCGTCAGTAAGTGCCGGGGGTATCGTCGGGTGTATTCGTTGACACGAGTGCTTCATTCGAGAGTTGCTTCAATTTTGACCTTGAATCTAAGCATGCTCCTAGGAAGCATTGATGGATGTGAAATTGAATGCTTCATGGAACTGGCGCCGTTCACTCTTCCAGAGTAGCATGCAAAATATGAATGTGATGAAATCGAATAGGAGTATGCCTAGTTAACATGTATCAGTGGATTTAAATGCAAGAGTCTGTAGGATAACGCGTTTCGAAAAGCAGCCAGCTTTATCCCGAACTGAAAGTATACCATTATTTTGTAAACGCCGGTTCGTTCGTTTACATACGTTCGTTTAAATGCCCGTTGAGTCTTAAAGGATCAGAAACGCTGCTGCTGAAGACATCGAATGTTGCTTGATGTAATCTCAATTCTGGAGAGTGAAATGCAGGTTCTAACAGGACAGTAATTTCTATCTTATGGATGGATTTGGAATAATGATTTTCATTGCGTTGAGTGTTCTTCAGATTTTCAGATAAAAAGTGATCATGGCCGAAAACGGTCCGGAATACATCCAAGCCGAGCTTGAGAATTTCGGCGTCGAAATGAACTTGAGCCTCGCGGAAAAATTACACGAATTATCAGTTGCCTACGGAGTATCGGATGACGACATAGTGTCTGAGTGGTTCACCTTTTCACAAACACTAACTGATCCCATTCCAACCCTGGACAAGATTCTCGCCATGGAAAAGAGTGTCTTGGTGAAGAGGAATACTATTTCTACGCCCTTGATTCCGCCGAAGCACACTCCAACGCCGACCCGTCAATCGGAAGTTCGTCGAATGGATGTCGACGTTGATATTCTTGCAGCGATTTACAATGATGGTGAAGCTCCTCATGTGACCCCGAAAATTGTGCGTCAGGGTGAGTTGAATGAATTCGTGTATTACGGAATGTTTCTGCTACGCGTGAAATCCTGAAGTCCGTGATCTGTTCAACTACATTTTTCCCGCGGATGGCCAGTATGCTTAAGAGGATTGGTGCAAAGGTTTCTTGTTGGAATTTTTTATGAGACAGAGATGAAAGTGCGCCTCCTGGGAAATAAGTTTCACGTACGACAATTCATGAATTCCGAGGTACAGTATTTTTTTTTTGAGTGCCGGAAATTACTGTACTAGCGTGCATCAGATTAGGGTATTATTGATGCACCGGGTGAAAATCTACAATTTGACCTTGATAATTCGAACCTCTGTAAGTCAAATATCTCCCAATGTCGATATTTTTCAAGTCCCTGTCTGAAATTCCGTATCAACAATGGAATGAAAAATTCCCGAATTGAAAGGCTATGCCCCTCAAAAATCCAACCTCCATACGTCAAATTTTCTGGACACCTTTTGGCGATTATTTTGTTGACACAGGAAAGAGTGAAGCAATCAAAATGTAACTCGATGTGTTTTGAAAGGAAATTATAGACTAATTGGTTATATTAACCTTTGCCTCCAACCTCAGCGTTCTGTCCACTCATTTGAGATTCAATTCAATGCCCAGAATATCACCAATCACAATCTTCTGTGATTTTTCTTTTCTCTCCCCAACAAAAAATGGTTGTTTCCCTAACTCGAATTGTTTTTCTGGTCCTTCGAATTTCAACTTGAAGAGTTTCGACTGTATACATGACTTTCTGAAAATTTGAGGTCCTTTATTTGAAGTGAAAATTGCCGTCTGTCGAGTTCAATTCTCTAAAAAAATGATGCATTTTTTTCTGTTTAGATAAATCCTTGCGTGGGGCAAAAACGCCGTCTGTTTTATTTACCCCGAACAACTCATCTCCGGGAGCATGCACCCCCTCTGAGAAGTACGTGAATCGGTTAGGTAAAGGACAAGTCATGGAAGTGGTGAAGTTTGGGGAAGCCTTTGCTCCCAGCTCTTGGAAAAATTCAGCCCGTTCAGAAATAAACGCCAGTGTTCGCCTACTCAATGAAGAACTCGCTCTCACGGAAACCTACGCCTACATGTGCGATCGTTTGGACATCCAGCGTCAAGTGCTGTTCACTGCAGCTGAAGAACTCGGGAAAATCATGCTTGAAGACCTGACGGCTGGAAACCCTGTTCCTTGCATTTTAGAGTCTGCTCAGGAATATTACTGCGTCGGTCGCATTTTCTGCGATTCTCGTGGAAAGCTCAACAATGCATCTGTATTTTTGGAGAACTGTTCGTCGGATGCCGTTGGAAGCATCGCGACTCTGGACCTAAGTCACCTTGCGGACAAACAATACTCGTTTTTTTTTTCTGCGATTCTCGTGAAAAGCTCAACAATGCATCTGTATTTTTGGAGAACTGTTCGTCGGATGCCGTTGGAAGCATCGCGACTCTGGACCTAAGTCACCTTGCGGACAAACAATACTCGTTTTTTCCCGGGCAAATCGTCGTCGTCAAAGGAAGCAATCCCACGGGGAAGAAGATTATCGTGTCTGAGTTGCACACTGGGTCAGTACCTGAGGCCTGCGACTTGAATCTGGATTTCCGAGGAACTCTGCGGGTTGCTGTTTGTTCAGGACCGTATTCCGCAGCTTCCAACATGCTTTACGAGCCGTTCAAGGACTTGATTGCGGAGTTGAAGCAGTTGAAACCGCATGTTGTGATTCTATGCGGGCCTTTTGTGGACGCGAATAACGTGTGTGTGTCAGAAGATGGCTTATCTGTAGAATATTCCACGATTTTTAATGAAACTATTGCGGAACTGTGTGAACTGGGGTGTCAAGTTGCTGTGATTGCTTCGGCCAACGACGTTCATCACGATGCGGTTTATCCCACTCCTCCTTACACGACTAGTTTGAAAGTGCCAGAGAATGTCAAATTTTTCAGCGATCCGTGTTTGCTGCGGATTAACGGATTAGTGGTTGGTTGTACTGCCACTGATATTCTATTCCATCTCGGGAAGGAAGAATTGAACGTAGGAGGAGGTGATCGGTTCCATAGACTCGGCGAATATATTTTGAAGCAAAGTTGCGGATTAACGGATTAGTGGTTGGTTGTACTGCCACTGATATTCTATTCCATCTCGGGAAGGAAGAATTGAACGTAGGAGGAGGTGATCGGTTCCATAGACTCGGCGAATATATTTTGAAGCAAAGGAGTTTTTATCCGCTTTATCCTCCCGCCGTGGGTGTGAATCTGGATTTGTCGCATTACGAAGGACACGTGGATTTGCCTGTGAAACCGAATTTACTGATCGCCCCGTCCACGTTTTCTCCATTCGTGAAAAATGTCCGAGGGTGTGTTGTGATCAACCCTGGGTTTCTTTGTAAGGGGGGTTCTGGTGGGACATTTGCCGTGATTGAAGTGAACAGTGACTTTCGCCCGAGTGAAGAGAAGGATCCTGAAGGGATCAGTGTGCGAGTTGTAAGAATTTAATGAAATCGGCGCGGGTGTTTTGGAAGTTTTCTGCAAGTTCGGGTTGCAAATTTGGCTATTTTTGATACTCCTTTTGTGTTTTTTTTTTCTTGAACGCTCTGTCGACCTTGAGTTTTGTTACTTGGGAGATGTCGCCTGCATTTTTCTTTCATGATCAGTTTACTGTAATAGGTTAATGTGGTAATTTTGCGTACATTTTTTTTTGTCCGAAATTTGGCATGTGAAAGACGAGCACGAACAGCAAATGGTTTCAGTTTGGAACTAAACCACAGTCTTAAACAGTTCCGTGTAAAATACCGTGATACAGCTAACAAAATGAACTCTCTTCAAAGTTAACTCCCAGAAGTGACAACAGTTCTTAAGCTTGTTTTCAGTATTGTTAGGCTTAGGCCACTGAGTGTTTTATACGAGAGAAAGCCACAAGATATAATTTGAAGCTCAAATGCTCTGTTTTTGTATTATATTTCCTTGTATTTAATGAGACATAATATACAGTATTCTATTGGATTTTTACACGTATTGCATTAAAAGAACAGGGCTGTTCCTTGAAATTTTTATTGATATTTTTATCAAGTGTCTTCAAGCGGTAATCAACATTTTCAGGAAAGCTTCCATCTTATTCAAAAATCTGGCGAAGGAAAGTGCCATGCAGAAAATAAAGTTAAAAATCGTGTAAACTCAGAATGAGCATTTTCAAAATTTTCCTGAATTTTTGTGTGAGCATGGGCATGTGATTCTCAGTAATAACCATAAGGCCTTTACTTCGATTTTTGCCCATTTTTCATCCAGGACAAGGAATTTTTGTGGCACTTGATCAGGGTTTCCCTTAAATTCCTAAAGTTTTAAGAACACAATGAAGCAGGATTTGTTCCAGGGACATTTGTGGCACTAAATCATGGGTTGACTGTACAAGATGTTTTAGGGACCGTTTTTAGCAATATATAAGAGGAGAAAGTATCGGTTGTTCAAGTACAATATTTCCAAGATACTTTTCTTTGTTTCCTCTGAATAAAATACAAATTTGTGCTGAGCTCATTCAATTATTTGCATGGTTGATTTAAACCCAGATTGTGGTTTCCATGCTCATTAATTTTGGTTTGACTTAATTTAATTTGGTGAGATAATCCTTGCGTGAGTCAGCAATACAGGCGACATATAACTGAGATTCCTAAGAGCGAGGCTGAGCGTTAAAGAAAAATTGCCTGCTTTTGTATAATTGAATACATTTTTTCTAGATTTTTAAATTTATTTTTCTTTTGTTGAGGGTTCGGAAAAGGAGGTTAAACATTGTGGAAAAATCAAATAATTTTCGTTTCTACTCGCCATAGGGATTTTATTTTTGAAAAAAAAAAAAATCGCGTTATTCCCGGAAATGTTGTGAAAGCTTACGAGAGAGTGATGTCGGGTGACGCGGCGATAACGGATCTCAGCAAACACGAAATGTCGGTGACGGAATACTTGCGGAAGCGGGACGCCTTTTCCTCGCGCCCGCCGGACGTGGCCCTCTACGAGAATCTCGGCGGTCTTCCCGACGTGACCAACAGTGCCCAGTACGGACGCCACAATTCCAGTTCGCTTCGGAACCCGCCCATCTACGAGAACCTGGACACGTCTTCGACTTCGGACTACGTGAACGCGTCTGCGGCCTTTGACTTCACCGCCATGGCGAGTGCGTTGACTGCCAAGGACGGGTTCCTGCCGCCCCCGCCTCCGTACCCTGGACCCGGTTGCCTGTTCCCGGTGTCGGCTCAAAAGCCGCAACAAAGGTAC